CATAAAATATTTAGTTCTAGAACAATTCTAATGATACGAGAGCAATATATAACAAAAACTAAAGAAGATCATAAAATTATTTTGCAAGGGAAACACTTTGCATTCCAAATTTTGAATCCCAAATGAATAAAACCCTTGGATGAGTGGGTCTCGTTAAAAAAAAAAGAAGTCAATGGGACCTACTGACCAAATAGTTCCTAATGATTTTGGATACAATTTGGGATCCCAAGTATTGTTTTTCCTATAATATTAGTTAAACGTATTAGTCGTATTAAAATTAGATTATTTAGGGCTCGTTTAGTAACGTATACGATTTTTGATTTTCTAAAAAATGAAAAATAGAATCAAAAAGCGAAAAACATCATTTTCTCTTTTTTGAAAATCGCCCATCGTTTACAAAATGATGATAAAAAATAAAAAATAAAAATGGTTATTAAACGAGTTTTTTTTTCTTATTTTCTCTAAATATTAAAATAAAAACGAAAAACATAAACGTTACTAACGGAACTTTTAGCTTTGACAAAATTTTGACCCATTTATTACTAGTGTTAATCAGTAGTTTCAATTTTCAAATTCGAATGTGTCAAAAATCACCGCTAGTTCATTACAGGGACGAAGTGCAATCTAGATGGGAATGACCAAACAAGATGACGCCCAACCATTGCAGTGCAGTTAGCCTTGCAAAGACACTTACATTGGAGGGGAAAGAAGGTGTGTAAGGTGTGGCATGGAAGATGGTAGCTTCAAGTGTTCCATGGAGAAACTTGTGCTTGTTCTCCATCGCTCAAGCTCTTCAAACAAATTCTAAGTGGGCGTGAGAAAGAGAGAGAGACCGGAAGTGATAATTTTAAGTCACTCCGACAGTCTCTCCACACGCGGGTGTATAATTGCATTCAGCTAATCCTCCCTAATCTTGAATTCTCAAGAATCTCGTGTATTGAATTTTTCGGAAAAAACAGAAGGGGCGAGAGGGAAAGAGACTCTTGTTTGGCATCTAATGAAATGTGATAGACAATGGGCATATATACAGGACATCAGGTAGGGGATACTTGTAATGCAACCGAAAGGGTTGGCAGTTGGAAAAACTTGGGAAAATCTGCATTACTAATCTTAGAGGCAACCCTCAAGTCTGCTGTTAGTTTTTCCTTTAAGTTGAAGACTCTAAATATTGAATTTATTATAATTGTGAGTGACTTTAAATAGTTAACTGTTCGTACACTTAAGCAATACGTCGTTGGTTCCATCCACAACCTATCTCTCTACAATCACGTGGAAAGTGGAATATATTTTTATTATATAATTTGTCAAAACTCTAAGTGTATGTCACGTTTTAGGCTTTTAGTGGATAAATTAAGGAAGTTTGTTACTAGATTCAGAAGATACCTTTGATACAAGTTACCTATGATTGTAATGACGTAGGCCTTCTCCCAAATAATCGTTCGTCACCCAAAAAAAATTATTGTTATTTTCATCCTAACTATTCTAAACACTGTCTTTAAATTTGATAATTGATGGGACTCTTCTGAAAAGCCCTATGATGAAGACACGTGTCCTCGGGGTTTCTAGAACAATGTTACTCGGGTTCAAGCACCATCGGCAAAAGGCGTCCTCTCCCCCGAGGTACCTCTCATATAGGATCACATATTCGATACATTTTACAACAACACGTGTCCTCGGTCACCGTGTAGCTCGGAAACATACCGCCCTCGGTCCCCGAGGTGAGTCTTTCCTCGGTGCCGAGGGTCACTCCATCCTGGACGCTTCCTCTACTCCCGGATAAAGCTACTGACGTACGGGACATCAGCCTATGCCAGTCTAGACTATTCATCATAACCTCGTCTTAACATAAGTAATGTCAGAACACGCTGGAATACCGACGTCACAGCCAATAAGGGATGGACGCGTGGCAAATAATGTCACATCAGAAGCAGACAAACCGCATGCCGTCGCTGACACGCGACTTGGGAAAGCAAACAAATTAATTGCACCCTTCTGTTGACGAGACCGCATTCAATGCGGTAAGGTTCGGATATGAAAGGCAATAAATGCTCCTATTACAGAGCATTTATTGCATCCTTCCCGAAAGGAGCATATTGTACCGTCGGCGTCCCGACGGCTCAGCATTGATTGCTCGGGACCCCGAGCAGTCAATTAGAGAAGACATTCCTCATCAAATCAATACACACGCTACCTGTGCCTGATGATCACCTGCTGACCACACTGACAGCAATCATGAGCTTCTAAGGTATAAATACTCCTCCCAAAAGGCAAAGCATGGATGCAATCACAAACTCACTACTACAAAATATCCTTATCAGTGTTTTCTCCTTCCTCTCTCTCATTCAAAGACTGACTAGACCGTCGGAGGGGATACGCCGAAAAACACTCCGGCGCCCTTCTAACTTGTTCTCCTTTGTTCCAGGAGATACCTTTCACACGTACAGGATCGTTCTTCCTTTCCCAGGATCTTCCTTTGCCGTTCCAGGTTGCCACCGTTCCTTGTAGGCTGTTTCAAGCAGTGTGTTTGGCCACTCAACCGGCTCACTCAAAGTTCACCAGGGGAGAGAGCTGTTCCCAATATTTTTTATATTGTGCAGGATCTTACACGCACAATCTGGCGCCGTCTGTTCCCAATTATTGTTATTTTCATCCTAACTATTCTAAACACTGTCTTTAAATTTGATAATATAATGAACAAATTTAGATTTAATCTTTACGGGGGATTTCTCGTATAATATTTCAGATACTAGCAACTTGACTTGCACTCAAAGGAAGACTTTGGACTCTTGGACTAAACAACATGTCATAGAAAAGGGTTAGAAAGAATGTCGGAGGTGTCTTTGACGTTTTTCCTCTCATGTTAAAGTCAATTTTTGACGAGGAAGATTAAGAAAAAATATTTCTTACAATGGTACTATTACGTCAGTATTGTCATATGATATCACTAACTAATAATATGCAGATTCAAACACCATACGTCGTGCAATCATTACTCTTTTAATGGAACGAAGCAACATATATTATATTATTCACTCCGTTCTTAAATATTTGTAATTTTATATAATTTTTTTTGTTTCATAATATCTGTCGTTTAATGAAATCAAAACATAATTAATATTTTTTCTTTCAAATTTATCCTTAACTTTTCAATGCATTAGATTAGGTGGAGGCTAAGTGTCTTTCATATTCTTTTTTTTCTCAATACGTATTAAATAAGGGTAATTTAGTCTTGTGCAAATATTTTTTACTCATATTAGAACTATTTAATAGCTTCCTTAATCTATGTGAAAAAATTTTAAACGATAAATATTTAGAAGCGGAGGGAATATTTGATTACTCTACCGATCACGTCCCTTCATAATCTTAGTGGATTCGACCAATAAACTAATGAATCTACTTAAGAAATGGGTTAACAAGAACTAACGAAACAACACACATCCCGACAAAATGGGTTAACAAGGTTGGATCAAATGCTAGGAATATACGGTTTGGTTGGCCCCCTTAATAGTCTTTGGGAGAGGGAGGTGCAAGAAGACAATGGCTCATTTAAACTAATTTTCTTTTGTGAAGTGACATTGATTTTAAACTTATAATTGGAAATAGATTCAGATCTTTCGATACATATTTTCTTAATTTTCATTAATAGTAGACCATGTTATGGGTCATACTTGAAATTTAAATGAGTAGAATTCTGTTTTGACATAAAATATAAAATTCTAAGTGATGATACACAAAATAGTCTCGTGCAAGATCAACAGTCGAGTGTGTGATGGGTGCAATTAATGGACAATTAATAAAGCAATCAATAACAGTAATATAAATATTGAATTAACACACAAATATATAATAGTTTGGTCTGGATGATCTACTCCACTCTGAAAAACAATAACGGTAGTCAGGGGTCTTTATTGATGAAGTAAGGTGAACGGGAAAAAAACATTGATTAGTTCCGGGAGAGATACAATAACTAGAAGAGATAAAGTGTATTGAGAAATGTAAAGGTGTAGAGTGGTGCAGTGAGATGCCTCTCTCAATGGAGAGAGCTTACAATTTATAGGCATTGTGAGGCGGTGATGTGAGAGTAAATGCACTAGCTTTTCGGGGAAGATAGTTATAAAAGGTAAGTACAATTAAATATAACCTTGATTTTTTAGAGTAAGTATCTCAATAATTGTTTCTCATGTGCTTTAATTCTTCTTGGACTCCTTGGAACTTGGGCTAGGTCGAATTTGCGAACTGGGCTCGACCTGCATTTTAGTTGACTTGGACTTACTAGATTTATTGGGTCTGCCCTAGTTAGATTTGGGCTCGCCACTAAGAATATTCAATATATTGACCCATGATATTTTAGATTTCCTAAAAAAGTGTCACGTGACAGAAATTAAACAAAGACATGAGATGATTAATCACAATCACATTTGAAAAGACATAATCGATTGAAAATTACTATCAGNGAACAAAGACATGAGATGATTAATCACAATCACATTTGAAAAGATATAATCGATTGAAAATTACTATCAAATAAACGTCGATAGAGATGGCTATAAAAAGGGCACTCAGTGTAGAAAGGCGGACACATTCAAACCCTCAAAAAAACTACGATCTGAACATTATTAAGAGAAATTTTAAATTAGTTTAAAAATGAAGATTATTTTCATTTAGTCTTTTGTAACCGAAGTATTTTTGATTGAATTAATAAAATAATTGTCTTTTATTAATACTTTTTTCTCTGTTTTAAATTTCACCTTGAGAATCTCTATTGTTTTCATCCAAGAAAATTCTATTTGAACTCATTCCAAACAAGAAATTTTCGTTTTGACCCCGGGGAAAAAAATTAAAAATTCTCCCATATGAAAAGTTGATGCATCTTTTCAGGTCGTCGATCACCTTTTAGCTTATATTTATTTCTTGTCATGTGGGTTAGTTTATCTACTCCAGGGCAATAATTGCATACATCTAAGTGTCGTTGCCTCAATGAAGACGCTCTGTGTCCTCCCATGGACCCCAATCACTGCCAGTCTTCCACCAATTATGATAAGAACTTAAAAAAATCTACAGTTGATGACGAAGGTTATCATGCCGACATTAAAAGTTATTTGGGTTTTTTTTATTTTGTATTATAAAAGATATCTCGATTTCTACTTTATACCAATTTTTTTTTTTTTTTTTCACATTACAATCTCAATATCATAAATTGGTTTCAATACGACCCTTGCACCGATATCCATTTCAAATTCTGTTAAAAATTGATGAACATATCGTTTGGATAGTATGTGTATCAATTTTTAAGAAATTTGAAACAAATATTAGTCTGATGGTCATAATGTAATCAATTTGTACCATTCAGGATGTAATGTGGAAAAAATAATATTTCAGTGTGTAAAGTGAAAATCGATATATTTTGTAAGGTGCAAAGTGCGAAACGTCTTTACAATTTTTGAAAGTTAAGTTAAACATTTGATTGGATAGAGTTAGTTTCTGCGTAGATGATCTGTTTTTAATCAAATAAGAGAAAAAATTAATAGAAGTGTGTGTAAGCTAATTTGAATACCTTTTAATATTGAACTAAAAAAAATTAAATATTTTAACAATAAAGTTACGATTAATTACAGGTATTTATGATCACATTTGTGAATAGTCATAAATAACCATGATACGATCGACAATTGTAACATGATCAAATAAATATACACAATATACCTTAAATTTAATTATATATAATTTAAATACTACACAAATTCAATAATTTAATAATTTAATAATTTAAACTTAATTATTAGCCTTTTTTTTTGACCTCCATTCAAGTTTTCGTAATCAAAGATTATAATTTTTTTTTTTTGCGCTGTTTTTAAAATGCATTTGACAGCTTTTTTCTGGGAGCTACCAACAAGCCACGTGGTAGCAGCGACCGGCCTCGTTGGTATCTCGCCGTCTTTACATAATCGCCGTCCCCACGACGCTTGGTCTGGTCTTATACCCATCCAAAGCCCATTGGGTTAGTTGAATATGTCGGTTCTCCACACAACCTCTATCCTGTGTCTACTGTCCATCACTCCCTATGAACCCCCCATCAATCTAAACCCCCTCTATCATCATATTCAGTAGAGCAATTTAGTCGGATTTTAATAGAACGTTTGATAGGAATGATAGAAAATTAGAAAGATGAAAAATTGATGAGAAAAAATTTCCATCCTTAGAGATAAAGAATATATTTTCTGTCATTTATGTTTGGTATGATGGATGAAAAACTGAAAGAATGTATTTTCTTTTGTTTAGTATTGGATGAAAAATTGAATGAAAAATAAAAATATATATGCAAATTTACCACTTAATTTGCTGATATAATTAATCATTATTATTAATTTAATTATGGGTCTCAATATTTATTATGATTTATTATCTATTCAATGATTGTAATTGATTAAATCAACAAATTAAATCAATATTTTAAATTCAAATTATATTTTCCTATCCATTATGCCTTAAAGATGGACATAACTATTACCAAGATTCTCAATTTACATTTTTAAATATTAAAAGTATTATAATGTGATCAAAAGTCAATTTATTGACACTGACGAAAAAAATAAACGGAAGAGTCGTATTATAACACCTTTGATACATTAAAAATACAATATTAAAAATTTAATCTTTAAAAGCGTAAAATGAGAATTTTAAATCTTTTTACGATGTAAAGTGCATTTTCACCCTTAAATTTCTACACAACTTCCAAAAAAATCAACAATTTTATCTTAATCTTAGCAATACGCCTGTTAAGTCGATGCTGGTAGGGCAAAGAGCAAAAGTAAGTTTGGGATTCCAACGCCACATTTTTTTTCCAATTTTTTTGATTCATTATAATGAAGAAAAATTCACGTATATAAAATGAATTTAATTTGAATTTATTATAAAGACTAGTAAATAAAATAGAATAAAATTAACAATGAATGAATAGATACCTTCCCCTATAAATTGTATTTTATTTATAAAATTTTATTATTTTTTTGAAGTCAGACTATGAGGGAAATTTATGAGAAATAATTAATCATAACCCGTCAATTTTGCATTAATTTCAAATCATATTTTTGTATTGTGTCAAAAATTATCGCCCTAACATTTATTGACGACGCAAACGACAATAATAGAAATTGACTGAAATTAGGAAAATTCAGAACTTAAGAAATACAAAGCCTAACTGATCATCAACGCCAATAGGCCTCACCTGAGCTGTAACGTACAGAATCACTACCCCTCTCTTTAAATACACCGCATTTTTCTTTTTCTTTCTTCTTATTCTCTCTTATTCGAGCACCAAAAAGGCGAAAGGGGATTCTTTCGGTCCCAATTCACCAGAAACTCGCCGGAAAATGACGACGTACGGCACAATTCCGACCTCATCATCAGGAGGCACAAACCTCGAATACCTTTCCCGCGCAAAAGAAAGACTCAAATCTGGCCTAAGCACTCGTCGGCCATGGAAGGAGATGTTCAATATCCGATCAATCAACCTTCCGTCGAGCTTCCGCGACGCAATCGGACGGATCAGAACAAACATAGGGTACTTCAGCATGAACTACGCCATCATAGTGCTAATAATTCTGTTTCTGAGTCTTCTTTGGCACCCGATCTCTATGATTGTGTTTATTGTCTTGATGGCCGTTTGGTTGTTCTTGTATTTTCTTCGTGATGAGCCGTTGATGATTTTCGGCCGTACGATCGGTGATCGTGTGGTGCTGATTGTGTTGTCGGTTGTCACAATCGTTTTGCTGCTGCTGACTCGCGCTACGTTGAACATACTGGTGTCGCTGTTGGTTGGAGTAGTGGTGGTGCTGATTCATGCGGCGTTGAGGAAGACTGATGACTTGTTCTTGGATGAAGAGGCCGCTGGGACTGGTGGCTTGTTATCCACTGCTTCTCCTTCTTAGAAGGTACTGTTTCATTTCATCAATTGAACCTTGTACCTTGTTTGTTTCGTAATGTTCACTTAGTTTTAATGTTTTTTTTTGGCTTTAATTTCCCCAATTGTTTCTGTATCATTGTTATGATCTTTCTTGTTATTAATCTTGAATTTGTTAGTTTTGTACTTTTTCTAATGCAATTGAGTTGCTTATAAGCTTAAATAAGGGTCCTTTCTTCTAGTGGTGTTGCAATGAAGAGAAATTAATGTGCTATTGGATTGTAAATAGTAAACCCCCCTTCTCTCTCTCTCTCTCTCTCTCAGGATTGTTTCCAAACGGTTTTTGTTTGTAAAGAGAAAATTTCATTGATTCGAGTTATTTTAGAATATTTCAATATGGTTCACCAATGTTTTCGAATGTTTTGAACTGGTTCATATGGTTTGGTTCAATATATTTCGATTAATTTTTTATTTTTTATACGTTTTTTTTAACATTTTGAAAATATTTTTATTTCATAGTTGACAAACATTTTGATCCTTCTTTTATCTCCTCCCTTTTCGGCCTGCTTTGTTTCTCATTGCAAAGAAAAGGTTAAGCTACTACTACAGAACTCAGCAAATGTGTGTTTATGCTGCCATCAATGCTTTATCTTTCTCTCTCACCATTGGGTGCTAACGGGGGATTCGAAAGTAGCACATCGCTAATGGTCCGTTCGGTAGGAAGGATGAAAAATTGAAAAGATGTAAAGTTAGAAGAATAGAAAATTAAAAAAATATATTTTTTCTAATTATGTTTATGGTTGGTATGATGGATGAAAAATTGAAATAATTTATTTTTCTTTGTTTGGTATTGGATGGAATGGAAAAATATATATATCAAATTTACTATTATACCCTCTCTGAGAGGTGAATTTTTTTTCTTCTAATTATTTTTTCTCTATAATTTACTAATTGAATTAAAGTATAAACACACGATCAAAAGTTAAAAAAAAAGAGGTGCGGGTCTGTCACCCTTTTCTCTCTTGCCCTCAAAACTCCCTTTCTCTCTCCTAGGGTTTCACAACTTCTAGATCCCATGGGAAATCAAACCTCATCATTTTACTATTACTTCTGCACTACTCACAATGCAAGCTTCCTCGTCTCTTTCGCTCCTTCATTCATCGTGTAGTCCTTACCCTTGTTCATACACGATTTTTCGACCAGTGGATTCTCAGACGATGCGATTGACGATGGGTCTCCATTGAAAGAAGAAGAAGAAGAAGATGCCCTTTAGACAACCTCTATGCTTTGATTTTGTGGGTCTTCTTATACTTCATCACTTCATTTTTTTTTTTTTTTTGGGAATTTCCTCAAAAACAGAGAGATTTGTTCAAGGTTTGTTAATGTCGATTTAGATGATAAAAGTGGAATATCTGGCATATGGCACCTCTGTTGCGTTGCTTTGTCCAAGTCATCGTCGATTTCTGAGAGAATTACTGGCTGTGATTTAGAGTTATAAAGAGGTGATTTGGTAGTGGTTTGCTTGCTTGTTTGGTTTCGTCGTCGTTGTGTACAGGTGAATGGATTTGGTTTGCTACAAAAGGGTAAAGTAGTCAATTCTCAAAAGATGTCATCTCCCTCCACTTTTTCAGTCCATTTTCCGCCCAAAAATGGGGGGAAGGATATTGGCGGGCGGCGGGGAATCTTTCTCCCCTCCACTTTCCATTCCCTCCCACTTTCCTTCCAAACCAAACAATGGAAAACAACTCCCTCCCTCCCACTTTCCTTCCTCCATTTTCTATCCTCCCTATTTTCCCTCGGGGTAAAAGACGTAATCTTTTAATGTCACCACAGATGAGATGAAAGAAAAAAAAATGGTATGAAGGGTGGGCCTGGAACAATCAATACATGTTCCATAAAGCCATTGACAGCTGCAGGTAGAGTCATGGCAACAACCATGCCAAATGATGGCAGGGAGACAATTACCATATCCAAAAAAAAAATGAATTTAATTTAAAAATCTAATCAGAAGACTTAATTAATTGTATAATTATTATATTTAAAGTGAGTTTGATCTGATATTAAAACTCACGTCAATAATTACATTAAATTAGGTGTTCGTGGTGGTAGAGGCCAACACTGTACTATGGCTCATCATTGACGATTTTAATGAAATCCTGGACCCCAATGATAAGCTGGGTGGATTACCATTAAAGCAGTAATAGGGTAGTTGAGTACAAGGACTGTATGGATCACTGTAACATGTTAGACCTGGGATTCACAGGGGCTCATTTTACCTGGACAAATGCCAGAGGGGCCAACGGACTTATCATGGAAAGACTAGATAGGGCTTGGAGTAACCCTGAGTGGCTTGTATTTTTCCCACAACAAATATTTGCCACATGACTAGAACTGACTCAAACCATTACTGTTGCCAAAAAGGGTTTGGAGAGAATTGGGAATTCCAGAATCAGTGCTTCCTTCATGGACCTATACCCTTTTCTCCTTGCTTCTCTTCAACTGCATATCCAAGGCCGATTCCAATTATGCCAATTTACCATGGAAAATCCTTTTCCCTTGTACTTGTGCTAGCCTCTGCCAAACCAGGAATAAGAGAGTTTTAGAGGTGAGATCCTTACTGGCCAACAATTTGCCAAACAAACCACAACCACGATTAACCAGGCCCTTGAAGTCTGAGGCATTGGTAGAATGGAAGCCCCCGCCAGTTGGCTGGGTGAAATTAAATACAGATGCGGCAGCCCTGGGGAATAGCAGGGGCTAGTGGTGTGTGCAAAGACTGTAGGCGTATGCTCTGGGGTTTTTTGAGCAAACTTGGAACCGCTACTAGTCTTGCTACTGAGCTTTGGTCTCTCAAACAAGGGTTATTCAAAGATTATGATCAACGTGGACGCACAGCTGGTGATGGACCTCTTGATGAAACCAACTTCTGAAGACCATGCTCACAGTCCAATTCTTGCTGATTGCAGATGAATGATGGCGAGATTCTTGGAGGTGCAAGCTCGTCAGGAAGTAAGGGAAACAAATAAAGTTGCGTAAATTTTAGCTAAAAAGGGGGCAATAGCCAATGAAGACTTGTTTGTTTTTTTGGACCCTATGAAATGTATTATAACCAGCTTTAGGCTGATATGATGGGTGTGATACCCAAGACTCTTATGT